TTTTCTGCTTCTTGTAGTGTTTGTGTTTATGACGATGTCTGAAAGAGAGCTGCCCTCACTTCTGAAGAATATGCAATTTTTTTTTAGTTCGATTAGAGTCATTTTGGTTTCAATGCAGTCTAAATATAATACTTTTAGAGTTTAGAGACAGTATTTATGCTGTGGCGGCAGGCTGCTAAACACTTATTGTTTGTTGATGATTTTTGTCAGAAATGTTTACTTCACACGTCCAAGTAGATTATAGCTTTTTGTTCTTTTGTTCTTTTAAACTCCACATACCTTCACTTGATCGTTAAGATGATTTCAGAACAGAGCATGTGGAGCTTTGGAGATGTAGACAAACTAATAATAAAGGATTACTCAAACATCAATTTTGTGTAACAGGACCTTTAAATCCAGATTACTAATATTGTGTAAACAGATGTGACCTTGGACAATGACAGTTTTGTTCTCTATTTCAGGACATGGAGAAGCTAATGTGGATTTGATACAGAATTAAACACTTGATTGCTCATTAAGGAAGTCATCAGGCATCATCCGGGGGTTCCAGTGACGCAGCCGATTAGAGCATTGCGTTTCAATTTGCTCCCTTTTATTCATGGGTTTCAGATTCCTATATAAAACTTCCTGAGGACATTTTCCCTATAAAAAAAAGATATACTATTTTGTTTTAATCGCTATGGCCACTGTTCTGACTTTTACATTTTTTTATAATAACCACCCCCTAAGGGAAAAAAACTCAAAACATGGTGCACCCCTCAAGTTTCTAAGTATCTTGATAGAGCTTTGCTGATTTGGCTGCATACACTACTGCTTTATTTTCTTTTAGATGTGAGAAGATTAGTGACGTTTAGTGGTGAAATACCCATATTACACTTGCAGTTCAAACTTGGTTTCAGTCTGAAATCTTTTTTACAACAAATAAATATCCGTGTGTGATAATTCATAGTTGGAGAACACAAAAGTTTTATGAATCAATAAAATAGTTGCTCCATACTGAGTTCTGCGTGGGATAAAACTGCATGACTCAAAAATGTCAGGGATCTAATGTGTCTGAACAGTCCATGAGCAAGGTTACATTTAGTAGTCTTATTATATGCAGTAGTGGTGATGTCCTTTACAAATGTTGAAATTAGATTTTTAGATTTTAATATTTTTTTTACATATATGCTTTCATCCTTTCTTCCCATTTCATTCTTCTTATTATTGTGTATTGTCTTCAACAAAAAATATTCACTGACAATGACACTGACATTGTAAAACTAGTAACAGTTTTATGTGTTTGATATTCTTATGCTTATCTGTTTGTGATTTTCTTTGATTCTGAATTGAAGCTGTATCACTTGTCTACAAGGTGCAAACAGATCATAATAATATACTATTTCATATACTGCTTTAGAATCAGCACTCAGAACATTAGCTCTGCGAAGATGAACAATTTTCGTCTCATTTTCTTCTCTTCTGTGGAGATACAACACATGATAGCTTTCATTACCAATAAATCACATTATCCTGAGAGAGAAGTGACAGTGAGATGGTGTACAGTTATATCAGATGTAAGTCTCTTTCAGTTTGAGGTGCAGAGGTGTTATTAAACGCTGCAGCGCTGGACACTGGAGAGGGCATAAACATGTCAACAGTCAAAGCCCTGAGCGAGCACTTTTTTGGGGTCAAATGATCATAGAGTCATAATCTTTCTCTAAGCTTCATTCCAACATAGTTTGGTGTTTATTTCATCTTTTCATTTTAGCCACTGCTTAACTGGTTCAGGTTTGTGGGATCTGTGTTCAATGAAAATATTTATATTAAAGAAGACAGTGATTCAGTGGTTTTAATGCACACCCACTGCCCACCAATCACATTTCAGAACAGGTTTTGTTTTAAACAGATCAGTGCAGTATTGTGTCACATTTTGCATGTTAGTGACATTGGCATCTGCAGTGACAGGGAAAAAATGTCCACCGGACAGCAAATAGGAACAAGGGGTCTTTCAGCTTTCAAGAAGAGAGAAGTCAGATTGCAGAGGGCGCTGTTGTCCAATGCAAATAGAAGAATGATGCCAAACCTGTGTAAATGAGTAAACAACATCATGTGACACTTCTGAGGAACAATGTAGAAGGCAGCTGGAACATATCATGGTATGACATAATACCTCGACATGTTAAGGGGAAAATTTATTTTCTACCTCCAACCAGTTTTGCGACCTTTGACCTGTAAATGCGTAAAAATATGGTGTACCTCTGTAAGTCTGCCTCAGGGCATTTGTGGCTACAGTGTTGTGTTTTTTTCAGAAGCTTAACAATGTTACAAAGCACAATCACTGAAAAGACCAATGCTGTATATTTAAAGCCAATATTAACTCCAGTTGTGGATAGAGTGTGATTCTTTTTCTTTTATCCATTCATCGACTAAGCCTTTTTTTTGTTTAAAATCATAAATAAATGGGCAGCTTCAATAGGTGCACCATTGTTAGTGCCACCTGTATTCTGTGGAATATTCAAAGCAAAGCAACCACCAGAAAACTTACATATGCACACATGTTATGTCAGGTGATCTTTCACACTATGTTCTTGTCAAAAATCTTAATAACTACTTCAGCTACTCTTAAGCTACTCTGTCAATATTTCCCCATTGATGCGGTACTAGTGTACTGCAAGAGGTCATTATGCCATCCAGCATCAATATTCAGTTGGTCTCCAGTGGAGTGGTCTGAGAGAAAATCTAATTAAAATGAAGTGCATTCACTTAGCAGAGACAGGCATAGGGACAATAAGTATCATTTAATGTTTCTCTGCCCTTAAAGAGTAGAGCGTCAATGGCACATTGTACAGCATGTTCACTGTCAATGAATGTGTTTGGTTCCAACTAACAGGAAAGTGCACTTTTGTCTTTTCATGCATGGATAAATGAGAGGACTGTTTCCCAAGGTCATTTGATTTAAAATATATGATACATATATTGTTTTGTACCCACGACTTTGATGGATTGTCCTCCTGTGATTACTAATAATGAATAATATTGAAGTATCAAACAGGGAGAACTAGAAAGCTGGAAATCTGATAAATGGCACAGTGTTACTGCTTTCATTTTGATGCATTGCCCACCTGTAAATATGGTCATTAATAATAGGGAAGTAACTCATCGTGAGAACTAGGAAGCTCATAGGGTTTGTCTGGGTGACAGTTGGTCTATTTGCAATTCAGTCTCCACTTATACCTAGAGTTACTGTTGTGGCTGTTGTGTCTTTGAGCAGGACACTTCCTTCACTGCATGACCATAACTGAGGAGTGAAAGCATGATAAGATTTGCTCTGATTTGTTTAATATATTTTGTTTACTGTGTTAGAAATGCACTGTTAATCATTGAAAGCACAGTATAATTCCAAGAGAGCAGAGATTTCATTTGCCAGTGCCATGTTTTACAAATGTTGTAATCCTAACCTACTGGTCTGGAGCCAGAGCTACAAATTCAACTAAAACTGTTATTTGTGAATGGTCAGATGGCATACAGAATGTTAGGGCAGGAGGCATGATGAAGCTGAATGTTATAGGAGAAACAATTCAGTTGGAGATTAAATTTCTGTTAGTGGAGACCAAATTCATTATTGTTTTCAGCATGATTCTTAGAACGCTGAATTAGAATGTCTCTGTAATCCCCAGGTATGATCCATTGTAAAATTAGAAAAAAAAATCATAGTAAAAACAGCCTTGGGGAAAAGTGAAGTCTTGAGTAGAATTAAATTCAAGGAGAGATATCCATAGAAGTGTTCAACTCTAACACAGAAAAATACAGTAGTGATGGACAAAACCAAGAATAAATCAAGACTAAAGCCACAAACTGGACCAACGCAGTACCAGACCTAACCCAGACTTAAGCAGGTGTGTCCAGGACAGATGACAACACTTCTGATGTTCACATATACCAAACCCAATTAAATTAAATTAAATGCAAAATGTGTTATAGCATATTAAGAGTGAACTGGATGATATTATATTGTTGTTTATTTGCAAAAAAAAATCTATTCTGTCAACAGGACAAAAGTTTTAGAGTCCAGTTTGTGTCTTAGTCTTGATTCAGTTTTGGTTTTTATCCACCACTACTGTGTTTTCTCTATGTTAGCAGCATCTATGGACATATCTCTCCTTGAATTTGGTTCTGCTCAACCCTTCACTTTTCTCCAAGGCTGTTTTTGTTGCTGTAATGTTTTTGCCAAGAGTCAGTGTCCAAGGACGAGGATGAGGCAGTATTTTGTTTGCACTGACTGTCTATTTATGTGCATTAATTGTAGGATTGTACATCTGTTTGGGTATTAGTTTTATTGTGCCATATGCTGGGCTGTATCTGCAGATAAAACAACAAAGTAAAACTGAATTGGCAGCAAATATTGAGATAACTTCATGAAGTGGCAGGAACACACAGCAACACCATCGGTTCGTATTGTAATCTAATAAAGTGACAACAGATCACTTGCGTCAAATCATTAATTTAAGCACAAGATTACCAAGCAATCCAATCACTGATGAAGAAGGCAACAAATGGAAAAGTCAGACTTCATTAAAATATGAAACAAACTGAAAATGAACTCGTGCTCATGCTGTTAGATATGCTTTATCTCCCTGACATCTTATTAATATTGCAGATGCCTTCCTCAATGACCTCCCTTATTGTTTGCATAAAAGTGTGTGGTCTTTGGGAAACACTAAACTATCTCATCTCCCCACTATCTATGTTAGGACCGCCTGTGCAGTTTGATATTCTTGCTTTTTTTTTATCTGTTTCATATCCGGTCTTGCACGTACAACTCGAACCTGTTGCATTCCACACGTAGAGTAGGAGATGTCAATCAATTTAGACTCAACAATAAACAACAAAACTCTAAAGTAAAAGCTAAATCTCAGAAAACCCTTATGCATTTAAGCCAGACCTTTAATCAGGCTTTCAAACATGGCACACGCAACTTTACGCACACACCTGTTCACCCCGGTTCAGTAGAGCCCTACCTGTCCGCACTGAGCGCCGTGAGGGTGAACACAGACACGCCGACCGAGGTGAGCTGGATGGCGGGGATGAGCTTGCACGCCGCCTCGCCAAACACCCACTCCTCGGAGAAGTAGCGGAAAGCGTCCACGGGCACGCACGTGACGAGCAGCAGCAGGTCTCCCGCGGCCAGGCTCGAGATGAAGATGTTGGGCACGCTCCTCATGGCGCTGTTGGTGATGAAGATGTTCACGAGGGTGATGTTTCCCACGAGACCTACGGTGATGATGATGATGTACACGGAGGTCATGACGCAGCGCACCACGAAATGGACCGTCTCTGATCCGTCAGAGTCCGACCACCAGCCCGGCGCCTCCGTGGTGGCGTTGGGGTTCAGGAAGTCCTCAAGAACTATCGGGTGGTCAGCGTTCAGTAAAAGCTCGTTATCCATGGCAAACAAGAAAAAAAGTGACACAAAAGAGGGAAAAGAGTTTAATCCAAGTTGTGCGCAAAGTTAAGGGGAAGAGGAAAAGACGCGCGCTGGAGATGAGAGTGATGCCCAGGTCTGAGGCTGGAGGAGACTGGAGCGCATGGAGAAGGAGCCGCGCAAAGAGCTCTTTGGCGCGTGGACCCACTCCATCTCTCTCTCTCTCTCTCTCTCTCTCTCTCTCTCTCTCTCTCTCTCTCTCTCTCTCTCTCTCTCTCTCTCTCTCTCTCTCTCTCTCTCTCTCTCGCCCCCTGCGCCAAGGAGAACAAACCACACACAGATGTGAAGGTGAGTTTATCAATAAGAAAACGTTGAAAAAAAAGTTGTGAAGTTGTAATAGAAAAGGAATGCTGTCAAATTTTCAGTGTTACCCTATCCACCATCAAATGAATGAGTGTAGTTTTTAATCTGTATCTTTTCTAAGCACAAATTGACGTGGAAAGCAAGGTTCACACCCCTTCCCCCTTGAACTTCCAAATTAAATTCATCTGTACAAATGGTTTACAAGGCACGTTTGTTTTTGTCTTGTCTTTTTCTGAAGGTTTTGCTTGATTGAAGGAACCAAACACTAAAGATGCACACAACAGTTCCTTCCCTCAGAGTAAGAATGCATGTTGTTCAAAGCATCTTAGAGCCATAGAATCCACTGCAATTGAATAAATACAAGACAACTTTAATGCCACTCTGTGAAACATTATATGGGCAAAGCAATATCATCTCTATGCAGGTGGCGGAGTTGCTTATAGTGCATCGTTAACAGGTTTCCAAAAGGTATAGAGGAAATCAAGAGTAAATCCATAATCTTAATTGCATGTCAATGTGTGAATAATTGGACGCAGATGTTGACAGTAACAGATGCAGTAGCGCAAACATGAGAAGATATAATTAAAACATGAGATTGAGATTAAGGACTCTACATACAAGCACTGCTGCTGGATGTGTTCTTCTTATAAAATGCGCAAGAAAAAGACTACTCAATTTTAGTAGCACTGTATTTGTCTTTTATTTGAAAATATATATATAGTTCTACAACTGAAAGCTGAATTTTGTTCAAAACACATATTCTCTGAGCTCTGAAGATGGAGATATGACTGAGGATTGGGACTTGTAATGTAGGCCAGTGATGCTTAACCACAGGACCACCCACCTATGGCCCGTGAAATCAGAAGAATATAACACTTTTATTATTAAATTGGGCCCCAGGTTACTTTTTACAGAAAATGTCAGGCCCAAAGGTAAAAAAGATGTAGAACCCCTGCTGTAGGCTACTCTGTAACTCCAATTTAAGTGTAGCTATTAGCAATTTCATGGCAAGGACACAATTACAAACGCATACTGTATTTTTAAAATTACAGAAAAAGTACCATTACCTGGAAGATCCACTCAAGTTTGTGAGTATTTAGTATTTTAATTAGCTTCTTTCCATCCCTCTTCATATATCATTGCTCTTTAAATGTCAAAGCATGTTGGCTGTGTTCTCATTTTCAATCCACAAGTGTGAGGAAGAATTCTAATTATCAGTCAGGCATGTAAAGTGCTTCCATAGGCATTCATTTCAAACACATTATACATTTGTATTGCTCTGCTCCTGTCTGTCCCTGTAAATAAGGATTTTACATTTTGCATATATTTTTTCAGGTTAGCAACAAATTTAGAGACCCACCTGTAATTTTAAGGGTCATTTAGACACAAACACTACAGTATCCTGCAAAAACTAAAATCTAGCCAAGTGAAGATGACTTGAATTAACAAAGTTTGACCATGATTTGAGTAAATTTCAGTCAGCAAGTAAAATTATCTGCCAGTGGAACAAGATTTTTTGTACTTAAAATATGCAAATACATCTTGCTGAACTTAAGATAAGAAAAACTACAACTTTTTGCATTTAAAATGAGAAACAAAATCTGAAATTGCTTGAATTAAGAAAAATACACTTATTCCACTGGTAGAAAATTGTTCTTGCCGAGTAGAATCAATTCAAATAAAGTAAAATGTTCATCATCAAATAATTTTAACTTATCTAGATATTGATTTTTTCAGTGTACTGAGCACGTGTTAATTCCATTGAACATTTCTCAAGGGCACATGAAGAATCTGCTACACAATATTAGCTCCTGGCGTAATTGGTTTTGTATTAGAATGCAATCAAAATCAATAATCAGGCACAGGTTGTGTTTAAACTGGGACAAAGTCAGACGAAACCAGGAAACTCTTTGCTGTCAGACCACAGTGTAATAATCAGCTATAAATACTACACATACTACATATGAATAGTATTAAAAGATAATAGAAATATCCATAAAATGTGCATGCAATAAACCATAAACCACCTGCATTTCCACTTCTTTCCTTTCAGCGTGTCTAGTTGAATCAGCTCTTGTATGCATCCTGTTTGCAAACTCCTGGTGTGATGGGGGTCAAAATGCCACAGGTAGCACTAGAAAGCCATGTATTCAAAAGCAATAAATGTCCATATGAATCAGGGGAACCCCACAGACCAATAAGTAAAATGTGCTCTACTCTTATCTTTCTTCTGCACCTGCATCATTTCTGCCTAAAACTATTTGTTGCCATATTTCAATATTCAGCCATGCTCCCATAATGCTCTCACACAGTTTTCTAATACTACATGTTCAGGAAGTTATCAAGGCAGGGAGAAAATCTGAACAAAACTGAAATAGCAGAAAAAAATAATTTTGTCAAAATAGGAAACTTATGGGTTTGTGTGGTTTACTTTGCATAAGGCAAATATATTCTGAATTATTATATTCGTAGATATATATGTATGGATAATCTGTGCATTTTCTGTTATCAATGAAAGAGTTTGTGAAGTCTTTCTCAGGCCTGATGCTAACAGACTGTTATCCACAAAGTTCCCCAACTTAAGATTGCTATATCTAAATTAAATGTGTTTATGTTCATTCAGAGCTTTCAGAAGTATACAGGTCAAATGAATTTACAAAGCCAACTTGCTTATTCATGCTGAGAAGGCTACATGATGAAAAAATTGCAAAGACTAGAAATGAAAAGAATGTATACAACCTCTGCTGAATTTGAACCATGCAGTACTGTTGTGTGCTTTTTATGAAGGACAGGAGCCTTTAACGGGAGCTTTTTATTGCTAAGCTCAATTAACCATAGTTCCCATATGAAATGTACTGCTACATGTTATACATGTGTGGGGTTGCTGTGATAATTTGATCAAAATTTGCCCCAAATTGTTGATGTTGTAGGTCCAAACTGTGCTACATTAACATGACTGTATTGTCAGACTGCTATTGCAGGAAATGCTAAAAGCTATGTTATTTGACTAATGGAGACTGCGACTGTGGAGATGAAAAGATCTATTGATTTTTTAATTTTTTTTAGTTTTCTTTGTTATTATTTTTGAATAGATCCAAAAGAACATAATGTATACTTAAGGCAAACTGACAAGACTTCTGAAGATATTCAATAGATGTTTTAATGTATAGTCAACAACAGACGTATAATTGTATGCCTTGAAATGTAACTAGTGCATTATAACCTGGGCATTTTAAGTGGGGGAAAGAATGACTTATTGATTATAAACAGCTGACTTTTAATCTTTTGTGTCAGGCGTCAGAAAGATAAAATCACATAACTCATGAAAAGTCATGAACTGTTTTCGTGAAGCTGCAGAATTTCTTGTTGGTGCTCCCTTTTTCATCACAGGTCAACATCAGTAACACTATTTTGGAACATACAACAAAAGTATGTACGAGACCAACCCTTTTATCTAAGGGCATTGTTTTAAGTTATAGCACTTTTACACTCATAAACATCCTGTATCTGGTGTTGTTTTTAGCTTCATTCATGTTGGTTTCAGTAGTCCTCAGTAAAAGCTCTTGACCTAAGCCTCAGAAAATACTACTTACTACTACTACTACTTAAAATTTTCCCAGGGTTGTTGCATCACAGGTAGAAACCCTGCATAGCTTTTGAAGTCCAAAAATCATCAGCATGTTGGGGAATGTTTCTTATTATAGCTAAGATTGTTTTTTCCCATGGTAATTCCCTCTTCTGCCAGAAGATGGAGCCCTGCACCAGATTCCGTTAATTCTTTTCACTGCTGGATTTTCTACATTTGTGTTGGCTAAATGAAAGATCTTGTCAAGCCCTAAGAGGCAACTGCTCCTGTGATTTTGGGCTTTACAAAAATAAATTGAATAGAATTGAATTACAATACAGGGAGTGCCCAAGCTGAAAAATAATGTCTGGTTCTATACATGGTCATTATACTAAGCACAAGAGGCACTTAAGATCATGTTTAAAGGCCAGAGATAATACAAATAATGCGTAATACTTGGACCTCCTCTGGACCAATGCATTTCTTTCAGAATTTAAAATCAAAATCAGAGTATTGCCACCTATGGTACTTTATAAATATCTCCATTTTAAGTGAATATTAAGGGAATTAAACCCTCAACCCTTTGTACTAAATGGGTGACAGTGTCATTTTGGTACAATATAGTTTGGATTGACATGTGTTTCTCTCAGACTTCAAATTGAAAATTTGCATGCAAACATATAAAATAGACTTTGACCAAATATAAATAAAAATGCAAATGAAATAATATGGACAGAACAACAGTGTAAAATTAGCAGTGAAAATAGATCGCTGAAGTAGAAAAATATAAAGTGTTAATGAGTCCAACAGCAGAGGGGGAAAGTCACAGTGCACTTACAATAAATACAAATACATACAATATGGACAGAACTGTATGTACAGAACTATACGCTGCGTATCTTTTCTGGTGAAGGGTCTCTGCCTGAAATGTTCCACAGTATGACATTAAACATCTTTACCTTATATTTATTGAATTACAGGTGGTTTTATAGCTCATAAATACCTAGAAAAACAGGTATTCAGATTGTGAGCAAGGTTGCCTCTGCCTGGTTTGGTCTCTATGAAGATAGAAAAGTTTAATGCCATACTGTGAAATTCCAGACAAAGCAATAACATCTCCACAGAGAAACATATTTGACAGACCCTACACCAGAAAAGTTACAAAATGCACCTTTAAATTACAGGTGGTTTTATAAGTCATAAATATCTAGAAAAACAGGCATTCAGACTGTCGGCGGTGTTGCGTTTCCATAGACTGGCCCTGGAAAATTGGTCTGGTTTGGTCTTGATGAAGATAGAAATTTACACAATGCACCTTCAAAGTGACCTTCAAGATGTTATTGCTTTGCTTGGGATGTTCAGCAGTATGGCATTAAACAACTATATCTTGCATTTATCAAATTATAGAACATTTTATGTCTTAAAATTACCACAAAAACATGCACTATTACGATGAGCAGGCTCACTTCTCTACAAATCTGACTTGTAACTTGGCCTAGTGATGTGGCTGCTTGTCTTCATAAAGATAGTCAAATTAAATGTCAAACTGTAGAACATTCCAGGAAAGAACTGTAACATCTACAAGAGTCAAGCAGGAGTTGAGGAGGTGACAGACCCTCTACCAGAAAAGTTCCACAATGCACCTTTAAAGTGACAGGTGTTAAAAAGTTTTCCAGCAGCATAGGGGAAAAATGGTCAACAGCTGTGGTCAAGCTGCCTTTAGCCTGCAGTGCCCCGGTCCTGTCCCTCTGATTGTTCCTCTCTTGTTTGTTTTGAAAGCAGAGAGCGGAAGAGCACCACTCTCACCACATGTGACTTCTGGGAGCTGTGCGTCCTCCACGTTCTGAACCAAGTTGGATTTTAGGAGAGTGAGCTGAAAAAAGACTATGAATAATACGCCGCCAGGATTACGGTTGGTGTGTGGACTTCTTTTTATCTACATTATATTATTTTTTAGTATAAAGTTGAATTAGATCTGTGATGTTGCTTTTGTGTTTATGCTGACCACTTAGGGCAATGCCAGCTTCACCAATGCTTCTTTAGAAATACTAACTGTGCTGGGTGTGTTCACTAATATAATCAATAACTGAGTGGTAGCTTTCCAACTATATTTTCCTAATTCAGCAATGCTCAGTTCAATGTTACATCCAACAAAAGGTGACAATTTAGAAATTATTTATTTGTGTATTTTTTTATTGTAGATTGCTGTCAACATACAGCTGCTTCCCTCAAATTCTGTTTCAGACATGAAAGCTAAACTCACATTTGAATTTCATGGGGACAAAATGTAACTAGGGTGAATGTTCTTGACATCTTACATGCTTTACTGCGTGCTTTACTGATTTTAACTAAGCTCAGTAAGTCAAACTAGGATGATATTTGCAGACTGATAATAACTAAGACTGTGAATGCTCTACCAGCCATGGTGGATCATCTAACAATGATGCAGAAGAGAATTACTAAATTAATTACTTTTGGTAGTAACATAATTTGGTACTCAAGAAATTATCAGAAAATGTATTTTGAAATTGTGAGTAAAATAGATGTAATTCCGTGGTGAGTAATTTTGGCTAGTTCCTTACACATGTATTGGCATTGTATTTCCTGCTTGTTTGTGGAGCAGTCAAGGTGTTTTCTGCTGACAAAGTCCTATAGGGATTATAATGCACACACCACATGCCCTGCTGCCCATTGTCCAACACTGTTGTGTCTTTTTCAATTGACGGACAAATAAAGGCAAGTGAAATATGCATTGTCACAAGCTTTTAGAGGGTCAGAGCCGACCACGTTAGAACTGAGCTAACACCAAATAGAAATGAAGCTCGGGGCCCAGCAACAGCTGCAATGTCTCTCAACTACATCAAAAACTTCTACGAAGGATGTGTGAGTACAAGCACCACCTCAGAATGAGGGTTATACCTTTATAGGACCATTGTTGTTGTTATGATTTCTGCCATTTCTAATTCTTGTAACAAATAACAAATAAAAGACAGATTTTAATGGTGCAGAAAAAGAAGACTTAATATAATTATTTTGTATTGATCATAAAGCAGCACAACTGAAAAGGTGAAATGATCTGATTGTGTTGTAGAGAGATGAGAATGCCAGGACACTTTTGTTTGGTCTCTTGTGGGTCTCTTTGTCTGAGCTTGTTTCATGATAATTCATCCATCTGTCGATGGCAGCTGCTGTCATCACAAAATGTTTGTTTTCACGTTTGGAAAAAATGCATAAATGTAGTTTCATTCACAATAGTAATATGGTGTGGACAGATTTAAAACAGAACTTCATATTTCTTAGAAGTTGTTTATCGAACATAGCTACTTTGAAATGTTCACCTTTTGTAAGTTTTGATGAAAATAAGTAGTTTCACACCTCAGTGAGAAATGTGAAATAAACTTGAATAATTGCTGTAAATATATGTGTATTCATCACAGTGGATTTAATGGCACTTCAAAGATAAACCTGCCCAACTGTTTGTGTCCAGCTGCGGCCTCCGACGGTGATAGGACAGTTCCACACTCTGTTCTTCGGGTCAGTGCGGATGTTCTTCCTTGGAGTTCTGGGATTTGCAGTTTATGGGAATGAGGCTCTGCACTTTAGCTGTGACCCAGACCGAAGAGAACTCAATCTGTTCTGCTACAACCAGTTCAGACCAATAACCCCACAGGTACAGTGCCCTGTCTATCATCACCATGGTAACCATCTGACACCCACAAAAACAACATACAAAGTCAGTGATTAAAGCCTGAGTCAGCCTAAAAGTCACATTGCTATTGTGAAAGGTATGGTTTAGAGGTTAGAAGCAGTGTACAAATACTTGTAACATACACCCCCTGCTGTTGCCCTGGTAGGTGTTCTGGGCTCTGCAGATGGTGACCGTGCTGGTTCCAGGAGCAGTGTTCCATCTGTACGCTGCCTGTAAGAACATCGACCAGGAGGAGATCCTGGAGAGGCCACTCTACACCGTCTTCTACATTATCTCTGTGCTTTTGCGCATCATCCTGGAGGTTATCGCCTTCTGGCTCCAGAGCCACCTCTTCGGATTTCAGGTGTGTTCCTCCATCTGGCAAAAGACACTTTCAGGTCACAGTCCTACTGTTTTAATGTGAGCACTGATTTATCAGTCTGGAAGGATTCACACTTGTAAGGAGGGCAGACTCATGATGAAGGCCAATATTTAGTTCAAATATTTCTGGTTCCACAGATGTGTAGCTGCACATTTTTCAGGGTTAATGTTACAGTATTTTTGCCCAAAGCAAATATTGAAAGAAATACTTTTTTTATTTCAGCAAAATCAAACCTCAGCTCTTGGGGTTAGGGTTTGGTTCAGATATCTGCAAGTCCAAATAAATCCAAATAATTTATGGGAGTGTTTTAGTAAAAGCACCTCATGGTACAGTGTGTTGCTGCGGTGGACCCCACAGCTCCATCTAACCTCTCCTCTCCTACAGGTGCATCCTCTGTTCATGTGCGATGCCAGTGCTCTGGAGAAGGCCTTTAACGTGACCAAATGTATGGTTCCTGAACACTTTGAAAAGACCATCTTCCTCAGTGCCATGTACACGTTTACCGTCATCACCATCATTCTGTGTGTGGCAGAAATATTTGAGATTCTGTGTCGGCGCCTCGGATATCTCAACAACCAATGACACGCGTACACTGTGAGGAACTGAGTCATTGTGCCACTGTGCTGCCATTTTAAATGGTGTGTATGTGGGAGCCTAAGGGGTGGTCCTTTGTGACAGAGGTGCGCCCTGAATGTTCCAGCTGGTGCAGTATTTCGTATATGTACTAGTACTGCATGTATCGGTGGGTAGTACTGACTGTCGGAGGAAGTGTAACCTGTTTATAATGAGTCGGAGGAACAGGTGAGAGGACAGGTACAGTTTTGTTTCAGAACAGACATGAATCTTCCTGTACGGTACTACACAGTGTGTGATCATGTATGCGACAGGTGACAGTGTCAGACAGACACTGTTGCTGTGTTTGTTGGTCAGAAGAACGTGGGTGGTTGAATGTCATACCACTCAAACAGTCCAAATGTCTTACATTTCGGTCATGATTTGACTGCTCAATATTTCCTTGTATGACAGCTGCTCTGCACATGAGTATTATCATGGTGCACTAGCTGAAATAGCAGCTCTACACAGACAATGCGCTGATTCTACACTCTTATTGTGAGCCAAAATGGCTGACGTCACACTAGTTAACGTCGGCACACTTTAGGGTTTGCTTTGTTTCAGATTATTGCCAGTCAAGTATTCAAGCCAGTTCAACAAACAAGATCAATATTCAATGAAGATACTCAATAAATACATACATATTGACTGACGAACTGGAAACCGTGTCCTTACATCTCTTTAACTCTCTCTTGTTTGTGATCTGACCAGCTGTATTACTGTATTATGCATTTTTGATTACCTCTGATGTATTCTCTTGAATCAGACATCCATCCATCTTGAGTTAGTCTGTTGATCTCAGGTAAAGTGCAGGACTGGACTGATTGGACCCACAGCAGAGGGACTCTTCTGGCTGTTTTAACTCCTCAGATCTGGTTAAGATATTTAAGTTCTGGTGCTAGTACTATGATTTGTAGATACTTTATGGACTTGAAACATGGCAAATGCCATGAAAAGTGCAATGTGTTATGACGATTGTATCATTAATGACTTTCTCACCCGTATACCTACAGGGCTGCCAAGGCCAGTTTATGCCTGTGTACTGAGTTTCATTCATGGAGCTGTCTGCCTTAGTATCCTTACCTTCACTTTGCACTCAGCTGTACCAGACTGCATTATTTCTTGTCCAATGTCCTGATAAAGAGCAGATTTGAATTCAGGAGTTTAACTGTGTAAGACTTGAATTATTTTGTGAGAAGTGATTGCATATGTAGCATAACAACCACTTTGTAAATACATTTAGAATGTGGTCATTACTGACATGGATTTATGTATATCTATTTGTAGTACTAAACATACTTTATACAATGTGTAATGTGTACTATTAAAATAAAGTTTTCTTATTCACCAGCAGCAGAGACACACTTCTCTGTTGTTTGTGTTTTCACAAGACACACATTTTACCAGCAGTGTCTTTGTGAACTGTTCTGTCAGATAAGAGTCATGAACAATAATTAAATAATCCAAATGTTTGGATTAATCAAATAATTTTCAAAGGAAAAATAAAAAATGTGGGAAATACACCTTATTGATGAAGGTGTGGATTAATATTGACTATAAATCAAGAATTATGTGGAAAAAATGTCTTTGTGTCTTTTCTGGTCTGACACACACACATGCACACAAACACACACACAATATTCCCTTTTCACTGGGCTACAGATCACATCACAGTGGGATGGAGGTAAGTGAAAGGTTACAGATTTTGTGTTGTGTGTAATTGGGGTGATTCACACTGTCACCATAAGATCAGTTTAAATCATTTTAGATTTTTCATATTTCTTAAAACAATCAATACTTTTTCCAGCTTTACAGTGGAAGGAAGGAACAAAGGAGGGCCAAGCCCACACTGATACAGAGTAAACATGCACACCCACCAAGGGACTTGAACCCATATTGTTTGTGTTTTGAAATGATAAACACTATGAACCTGTCTGACTAGAGCTGGACCCCATTTGTCACTAGTTTGGAAGTCACTGAAGCCTCACATCATTGCAGTAAACAAGGGCCCACTTTCCTGACACACCTCATAAATCACCCAACATTTATTTATTCTCTCTTTTTTATTTATTTTTTTTTAATAAAGGGAAGAAGGAGAAAACATGGAGTTTGGAGATTTGGTCATTATTTGTCTCTGGGCTATCTAATAAACAAAGGGAGGAAGGCAAAAAAAAAAAAAAAAATTACATTATCAGTAATGGCTTTGTTGTTAATACATCAACAAAAACGAAAAGCATGTTTGTCAGACAAATACCTTCTGGGAAGCCAACTTAACTGTCAGCTTAAATAATGGGGACAGGACAGGACACAAACACAATTCCCACAAGATGAAACGTGCCGCGAGAAGACATAAAAAGACTACTTTTGGAATTATTTATTTGAATAAACCTCTCACGCGTCATGTGTGTACAAAGTGATGGCAATCTCGAGTTTTATGGGTGTAACTTGTGTGAGACTCACCTCGTCATTTTGGAAAACATTTAGATCAATTTGACCACAAGACAAGAGGAAATTCCCATGCACCAAAGGAGCGGCACCTGATCACATGGTGACATCACCGTCCCGTGAAGGCGGCGACTCCTATTGGTCACTGACGCGGAAGTACAAGCAGCACTACATGCTAACAACAACAAGCAGTCTGTCCGGACTTTCTTTATGAATTTCTGATCTTTTGGGACTTCTCAAACGCCATGGCTTTACCGGCCCCTCTGAAAGCCGTGCAGCACCACCTCCGGACCGCCCAGGAGCACGAGAAACGGGACCCGGTCGTGTCTTATTACTGTGAGTGTGGTTCTGACGCTAGCTAACGATAGCAGTATATAGAAATGCATTGAAGAAACTGCGCTTTGTTCAGCTGTCAGTTCGTTTAATCTTTGTCAATCGTAATATAGTTTTCACATGATGATGATTTTTGTCATATCGTTGGTGTAAATGAAACAGACGAGCTGCAATTAGCGTGGTTTACACGTGTCTTGCCTTAGCTGCTGCTGCTCAAAACTTATAAATAACGTCATCTTCACGTGAGTATGCGCCCTGAAACTAAACAATACTGTCTGCCAATACTCTATAACTACGAGAACTACCTGTCTTTTGTTTCAATATTAGGGTTACTTAGAGACTGCCAGGTGCATGGACATTCTCTCAAATAATAATCCAATCATTAACTTTTATAATACTGTGTAGCTATTTCATTGTGTTGTTCATTCATATAAAATGTACGAAGCAAGACGTGAATAACTTTGAATTTTGAGTTTCCTTTGCTTATACTAGAAGTTGTTAATGATTTAGGGGACTGGACAAAACACTGTATGGTATTTCTGGTCTGTCTTGAATGTATTGAGCGAGTCATAGGTTTAAGTGGCATGTATGTCTCAGCTGTAAAGAATGGACACCACCCTGATCAGAGTGCACTAAATACACAAGGAGGCTAAGGGCAGCAGAGCGGGACAAATCAAATCTGTTGAAGATATACGAATTAATCTAACAAAGATATTACTTGACTGTCAACAGATTTTTTCCAGAGCTTGCCATAGGTTTAAAAACTGGCATTGCTTTATATTTTGATTCACATTTAATATTTAGTACTAATTGTAATGGTTGATTAATTTTGCTGTGTCATGTTGCATTGCCATTAAACTTTATCTGTCTCTTTCATACACATACGCAAGAGGAGTGACACTCATTAGTCCAATGACAACAGACATTGGATCAGGTGGTGCCACGATAATTACTATACTGATTTATCGTTCAGTATACGAAAGCTGCAACAATATATTTTGGGGCTCAATATTTATGGTGTGTGTACAATTTCTTTGTAAAAGTGAAGGAATCTGGGAGGTTTTTGTTGTAAAATGACAACATTTGAGCTATACAATGTTAAATAATTGACTTCTGTGGCTAATTAATGGTTCATTTTGCTATTTATCTGTTGCAACTCATGCTTTTTAATAATGCTGTCTATTTAAAAATGTGTTTATTGGGATTATCCTGCTTTGTTGTTATTGCATCCATGGCATAAAGTAGTTTCAATATTATCCTTTATCACAGTATCTCTGTAGCAATATATCATGCTTCAAAGTTAGTTATTATGACAGGTCTAACTACCATAAATTAAAGCCTCAGGTCTATGCATATTGCTGCACCCTTGAGCAAGACACCCCTCTACTGTGCCTACATATGTTTCTGATGATCGCAACTAAGGTCTGTTGCCTTGGTTTTCTGTCAGTCACACGCTGGACAGCTGTGGTAAGCCTGTCATGATAAAAAATGTTGAGGTTTTTTATACATATAGCTGAGGAAAATATAAACATTGACAATACTGACTACACACCACTGCCACATGAAAAATATCAAAGTAGGATACTCCCAGTAAACCTTTTCTAAATGTTCAGTATTGTTAAAAACATGAACTGCTATATATAAATAGCAGAATGAAACACAATAGTATGAGTCATGCTACATACTAGTTGCTTATTCAACCCACTACAGTTCTAAGAGTAAGGCCTATTTAAGTATCTAATCACGGTGAATAAATATAATGCAATTTAACTCCAAAAAAAGCTCACATATGCATAAATAATCAATGGTAAAAGCAGGGATTGAACTGGGGTTGTCAAAAGTATCAAAAAGCGGATGCTAGTCTAGTCTATACTAAAACTATTATCAAAACCAGATACTCATTACTCATCTGAACAAATATTCATACTGAAAAAAAAAACCAAAACAAAAAAAACCACCTAAACATGGCATAATTTCCTGAATAGTTTTAGGATTGTTGTTTAGGATTTAGAATTGATTGATATTTATCTGAACTGCATGGTAGCAGTGAGAAAGTACTTGTGCTGTGTGGAAAATTACTTTCTATTCTAGTCAAAAAAAAAAAAAGAGTTTTTATTATCATTGTTTTTAAATTAGGGCTGGTCTTCAATTGATAAGGCAATCTATCTTGATGGACTTCTTGGCAATATGTGTATCAATACAGGGATGTAGTTTATCACAATCATTTAAACTATGTTAATTCATTGTTAGGCTTGCAATGATTAATTATGACTTGTCAGCTATAAAAGATAATCATCTGTTGTCATCTATTTATCATCATAATCGTTATCTGGACTATAAAGACTCTAAAACACTGATGAAAAGACCTTTTATAACAAAGACAGTGGCATTATTAGATCAAAATTTCAGATATTTATCAATTATTCAATTAATTCACAAATATTATGTGGTTAGAAGCCTTCACCAGCCATCACCATGTTATAACCTTTATTTAGTTGATATTGTTTTTCAGGGGAGTTCTGGTCCCAGAGTGGAGCCTACTTTACATGTTTTCAGTGATGGGGCCGCCCCACACTATGACACTATGTCATTGTTGCCATCATTATTAACTCTGGACTTGTACACTGGCTGGTGGGTCATTAAGGTGAATGCTGCTGATCTGCAAAATGAACTATTCAGTTGTGTTCTGAAATAAAGGAATCAATTATGAATCAATTTAGCGACATGCGTGCGTCACTTTTCCGTAGCATGGCCTCTGTATCAGGGTACATATTAAATATTGTGAGGTTCTTGACAATGCCCAGCTCTAATTAAAATAGAGTTTGAAATGTTAGTGTCATGACAACACTAGACTGAACTACCATTGCATTAGTGCCATTATATTCAGTTCTGAGAGGTGCAGATGTTTTCAGACATGTTGAGGACGTGCTAAAAGACCATGTTTCTTATGGTGAGATCTTAGACCCTGTGAGAGCCTCTTCTCAGTGCATTCATCTTTGTCTCCTCCGCACAGTGCATTATTGGCCTGTTCTTTTACTCAGGTGCTCTGTTTGCACATACGCTGCTTTGAATAGTGTTTTGGCCATTAGACCATGGCAGCATAAACATATTACTCATACATCTCTGTATGAAGACTTACAGTGAGTGCATTTTATACAAACTGCATTAGATGTAAGCAGAAAGCAAAAAAATAGACAAGTTGGACAACTGTGACATACAGGCCGCTACACACTACAGGAGAATTTGCCTGATTTTGGCTATGATTTGCTTCTCCCCAGGGAGGCATGACCCGACTTTTTGCCTTCATGTGTGATTTTGAATCTGCTGCGCTCCTCATGTTTGGTGTAAGTGTGACTTTGAGCTGCTCTGTCAGATCATAACCACCAAACACCAGCAACGCTACGGCAACAGCTAATAAAACAGACTGTCAGGGGCAGACGAAGTGACAGACACAGAGATGCAAACTACAAACTTGGGTTATAGCAAAAATAATGAGAAGACTTTATTACTCACCTCTCGTAACATGGTAAATTTAAAGTGCAGCTTCTCATCCACATTATTCATAGAAATTGTCCTCCGCAAATAATGACCCTCAGTCCACAAAGCCGCACTGTTAATCCAGTTTGAGGCGTTCTTTGAAAGTAAAAATGTGAGAGTAGCTCCTCATTTCTGTCTGTTTACATCCACACAGCACTCGGATTGAGATGAAGCTGCATTAAGATTAGCGATAGTGACTCTACTTCCTGTGTAATTTATTGCCAATCTTTTATGCTTTAAAGATCATGTATCTGAAGTATTGCACCACATTTTACTTGAATCTAAACTAGAAGTACAGTCCTCTGATCTTTTGAACACTTAAGAGTCTCAAAGTGAGTGGTTTTACTGTAGACATGAAACAGCTGACGTGAGTGCACTCACAACTTTATACCCTGTGGGACGCAGCTATATCCCGCTGCAGTCTTTGCGATCAGAGATTTAAAATCTCATAAGATTTTCTCATGTCTATGGTGTACGTTTTGTTGCACATTTAAAAATCGCTTAAGACTGAAAAATCTGCGGTTTTTGCGTGTGTTTTGTGTGTGGCGACGAGTGAGTGCAGGTCAAAAACATGTCTGAAGACGATTTTATCCTTGCATGTCTGAGTATTATGTCATCCATGTGACAATTCTCCATAAATACACAAAAACATCATACAAAACTTTACACAGCAACTTTATCTTTGTCAGTGTCGTGATGTGATGTGCAGCAGTTTCATTAGCGAGATGCACGCTGATTGTGTTATGATGGAGGGGAGTGACTTAGCAAAGGGAGACTTCGAGCGTCAAAAACAAAAGTGAAACAAAAGTTAAACGTTGTTTTTACTGAATATAGCAATTTTAATACAATAAAATGTAACACGATGATCTAAGTTTGTTATGTGTTAGCAGTTAATACTCCAAAGAATTAAAATACCCCCTTTTAAAACGATCAGCTTGAAATCACAATTTGAATGGCCGCAATTAGCAAATCACGCATTTTAAAATTCATGCAGTTCCTGTGTTAGGTTTGCAATTCATGTTTCAGTCTTCCTTCAAAAGTTAATGCCCTTGGATCCATATCACACTGCTTGTCAGAAAAATCGTTAGACATTTTTCCGAAACCGTTCCTGCTGCCATGAAGGCCCACTATCTCCACCCCCTTATCTCTTTGAACTGAACACAGTATAATTGGATAATGTCTGGACAGCGTTTGGTGCCATGTCCTGATCAGCGCTGCCCTCCTGATTCTTTGTGATGAATGGACATGATTGGAGTGTCTTTAATCACACATACCTGGAGTTGTGTTTTGGTACACAAACCTGCATAGGAGGTTTTTTTTTTCTCAAGCGGAAAACACAAGAGATGTCATGTGGTAATACAGAAAGTGCTCCACTGTGTTTTTAAACTCCATACACCTTCGCTAGAATCATTGATCAGTGTTTCCAGCAGAAAATTGTCAGGCAAGGTGGTGACTGGGCGGTTGTG